TAAGAGACAGCAATTGGAGTAGACAGGTATTAGGATTTTTTATGTAAAAGGAAGAATTTAAATATAAATAAATGTAGTAACGCAAATACAAAATGTATATTATTGTAAGTTTTGTTATTAACTTTGAAATTCTATTATTTCCATATACTTTATCAGCTGGTATAAATGTTTCTATGAGTTAAATAGAATAGTGAAAAATAGAAATTGTTTTATATTAATAATATAATGCTGTTAAGACTTGTACTGTAATATTGCAATTATTTTATAAATTGAATTCTAATATGCTGTAATTGTAATTTTTCTCGTAAAAAAAAACTGAAATTCTTTTTATATGCCGACTGTTTTGTTTATTAATTAATAATTATTTTATTTTAAATTGTTGAATGCATTATGCAAGAAGAAAATGAATTTGCTGCTTTATTCCTTTCAAAATTGCTGCCTCGACCTTTATATACAGGGTTAATATTTTTATCGAATATGAATGTTTATGTTGCCATTTACAATGTGAGTATATTTTTAATTTTAATACCCTCATTGGACACAGTATTAGATAAACCAGGGTTTACAATTTGGAAGATTTGTTCTTTTGTGTTGCATTGTTTTGTGTTCTGATTTTGAAATCTGTTTTAAATAATCAGTTGGAGTTGTTGATTGTAGTAGTATCCGTCAGTGCATATTTGTTAATAGGTGACATCAAGAGACGCTTATTTTCAGACACCTTTACGCAAACTCTCTACTATTCTGCCATACATCTTTAAACTTTCACATTCTCTTCAAATAATTTTAAACATATTAGAAAGAATTTTACTTTCTGCAGACATAAAAACCCCAGTTGTAAATATTTTAAGTTCGTTAGGTTGGAGCAAACTCTGATAAATGGGATGAACAATTGCTCATAATGATTTTCAAATGTTTATATGGTCATGCTCCATCATATTTATCGAAAAATGTTGATTTTAATTATGGTTTGAATATGCATTGTACTCGCAGTCAAAGTAAAAATACACTAATTGAATACACCTGGAATAATATGCAAGGTAAAAGAACTTTTGTATACCGATCTACTAAATTATTGAATAAACTCCCGGATCATACTAAAACCAACTTTAAATCTATGACACTTTTAAATTTTAAGCATTCTATTTCAAATCCTCAATAATACCATTTTAATTTAACCTGATTTTCTCTTACCTTGCATATCCATATTTATTATTTTAATTTTTTTTATTTTCTTACTAAGTTTCTTCAATGTTGCTTTTAGTAATAAGTTATCAACATTTTTTGGTTACAATGTGTATATATCTGCTTTTAAAATTTTGTAGTTAAGAACTGAACCACTTTGGGAACCAAATACTATGTATTGAAAGTGTATATTCAGTATGAAGAAAGAATAAGTAAATACAAAATCTGTTCCAGAGACTATGGGAAAAACTTCCAGAAAATAAAAAAAATTCCCTTATTATTGACTCCTTCCCAATATTTCTGCACTTTCATCAATCGCACGTATTATAGTAGAGTCCCAGCTCTTAGTGGTATTGCGCAGTCTATCGGACAATCCTCTCCATTTACTCGCCACATTCCCTGGTAGCGCCACCTCACTTCCCCTCCCCCCGCCCCCCCCCCCCATTTTTCTTTTTGTTAACTTTAATTGCTTGATTTTTACAGTTTTGAATGTTTTTATGTATATTATTTAGTACTGTATAGAGTCTATTTATAT